ATTAAGAGACAAAAAAAAATTTGCCAAACAAGATTCACCTCTTAACGATTCAGAGTCTGACTCTTAATGGAACTATTAAGAGGTAAACAAACAACCTTTAAGTTGGAAAAAACATGACTCACACTGTTAAAAATAAACTTTATGATATAAAAAATTAAATTTTCTTTAACAGTTGTTCCTAACGTTTCTGATAACGACATTGACAAGATCCGTAACGAATGTAAACCATGAGGTCGTTGGTGTAATTTATTGAACACAAGAAAGGAAAACTAGAGTTTCCTCAAAATATATTGAGGATTTTTGTACTACACTATCATATCAAACATAACAACATGACTAAAAGTGTGTATTAAATCAGTCATGTAGTTTAAACGTTTTTAGGGTTGGGTTCATGTGATATCAGATTATTTTCTTGAGATCTGTAAGATCATATTTTTACATTTGAAACTTTACAAGGTAAAAAAAATCTGAACCTTCACAGTAAAATCAATGCGAAAGTTATATTTACAGTGTTTTGTTGTGAATTTCAAGTATAAAAAGTGGTATAACAGATTTCACGAAAACAGTCTAGTCTCATATTATCTCAAGTCAATATCTTTACGCATAAAACTTAAATAATGGTTAATAATAAAATAATTTATATTTTGCATGTCGAATATGTAGATGATTCAAAGTATATCAAGTGTGAAGATGGAAAGATAATTTTGTATGGTTAACTTAACTGTCAATAAAGTTTGGTTTTTCATGAATTTTTCTCAAAAGTCACTTATTTGAGTCACACAAGATTTTAAGGTTTTTTTTACCTAGTTTTCTAAAACTTATAATTAGTCGAAGTACGCATAAGGTGACCGATACAACTGTGATTAAGGGGTTGTTTATTTATCTCTTAATAGTTTCATTAAGGGGCTGTTTGGATAGCTCTTAATGGTAACATTAAGAGGAAACCTCTTAATCGGTAAGAGGTAAAAGATGTTTGGCAAAAAAAAAATGACCTATTAATGGTTACTAAAGCCTCTTAACGATTTGGTGTTTAGGGAGCTCCTAAATGATTCAGAGGGATCTTCTTCCATTTTTGCCCTCTCAAAATTCTACAGTCGCCTACTCCTCCTTCCCCCTTCCTTCTTCCTCCTTCCTCCTTCCTTCTCGGATTGGAAGACGAATCTAGGATCTTGCTCGAATGGAAAGTCGCAGCTAGGGTTTGAAGTTCAAGGTTGTGACTCTCCAGCGGAAAAAACGGAACAACGGCCGTGTAAACCGGAAAGTTTTTGAGCTTAATCTTGCAAAAACATGGCGATGAGGATGGGTGAATGACGGAGCGAGCAACTTTTGACGCAACAGGTATCCTGAGGGCGAGATTGCCGACTGTAAGGCGAACAAAAGGACAGGGGTCCATTATTCGCCGGCGATTGAAAGGGCGACAGTGATAATGTTCAGGTTAAAAGGAAGCAGAAGAAGAAGCCATGGAGAAACGTGAAGATGGTGATTGCCATTTTTGGGTGAAGCTTTATTTGTTCAATCTGAATCGATGATTCTTTTGTTGATTGAATCTGAATCTTGATTTATAGATTTAACCAACTTGAGATTTCAGTAGGTGGTGTGTTCTTGGGTGTTTATGGTTGTTGACTTTTCTTTAGGGGTTGATTTTGGATGAACTAGTTGATTCTTTCGGTGATTCTTTGATTTTCTTGAAGAACTCATAATTAAAAATTGTGGGATTTTGGCTTTGCTGAAAGATAGAGCTATCTTTTTTATAGATGTAAACCCATTGTTATTAATTATCAAGCCTGGTTATACCCCATTGTTATTGATTCACAAGTCTGCTGTATGTGCACTTCAATTTCATGGGTTTATGCACACTGTATGTTGAAATTATGGGTTTATGCACAAAGGGTTAAAATGGTAATTTACTCTCATTCAGAGAACAGTTACCAAACAACATTATTTCATTCAGCACTTAACCATTCTGGCCCTCTTAACCATTCTGATCATTTAACTATTATGTATAAATCATTTAGCAACTGCCAAACAGCCCCTGAGAGGCAATATCTGAATCGTTAAGAGGTGAATATTGTTTGGGAAAAAAAATCTACTTCTTAATGGTTCTAAAACCTTCTGAATGATTTTGTATCATGTATCTCCCTTAACCATTAAGAACCCTAATTTCATTGTACACAATTACCAAACAATTATATTTCATTTTGCACTATATTATGAGAATCTCTTAATCATTTTGACCACTTAATTATTCTATACCAAACCATTCAGCAATTGTCAAACAGCTTTTAAGAAAAAAAAATTATAAAAAAAATCGTGGCTACTTTAAAATAACTAAAAGAAATAGTAAAATCATGACGAAAGCAGTGAGGTTATGGTAGAGTAAGAGAGAGAGAGAAGACTTCTAGAGTAAACTTTATGGGAATTGCAATTCAACCCCTCTACTTACATATTATTTCACAATTAGACCTTCAAATTATATCATGTGCTTGCAGTTGCAATTTGCACTGCATAATTACATAGTCGTATTTTATAAATTGTAAATGGATTTATAATTATTAAATTTATTGTAATATTTTTAAATTTATATTTATCTTATGTTTTTACATTATATGTGATATTATTAGTGATTTATTTTAATTATATTAAAAAATATTAGGGTTATTTGTAATTTTTTTAATTGTTAATTTTTGTTATTTTATATTTCTCAAATAACTTATCAGCTATTTTTTTTTTATCAAACATAAAATTAGTTTATATTAGTTTTTTAAGTATCAATTAATTGAACAACTAGCAACTAATCTATCAGCTTAAATTATAATAAAGTGTTATAAAAATAGTTGCAGTTTAATTTTTTTTGTCATATCTAGTACTTCAACTATCATAGCAAGTTTGAATGATGCGACTAATTGATTTAATGACGAAAGATTATGTGTGAATAAAATTTAAGATGAGAAACATGAAAAGAAATCTGGATCCTTTATCACCTTTAATCTCAAACCAAATCATGAATCATTCTTAAACCGATGATTGATCTGGTGCATCTTATACTAATGTACATCCAAAGATGAAGATTTTTTCTTACATTTCTCGGTCTCACTCATCTTCATTGAAACCCAATCCTTGATATAAAATAACCACATAATTCCCTCCTTTTGAAATTTTTGGTTACCATAATAGCCAGGTGCAAGATTATTTTTGCAGGGAAATTTACGTAAATGGTTATTTTATAAAATGACTTTCACTTTTTAGTCATTTTAAAAACTCATTTTCTCAAATAGCTAAAGTTTAAAAAAGAACTTTAAGTGGAAAAGAATTTTCTATGTAAAGTTTATTTTCAGATAAAAAAAAAAGTTAAAAAAAGAGTTTATGCAAAAAAAACTTTACACAGAAAAAAAATTTCTATATTTTACATTAGGTAAAAAAAAAAGGTTAAAAAATGATTTTACGAAGAAAAAAAAAATGGCACTTTGCGCGAAAAACTTTACACAAAAAGTTCCATTTTTTATTTTTCTTTTCTTTACGCGTAAACTCCCTAATTTTTGCATAAAATTCCATTTTTATTTTTGTTTTTATTTTTTCCCTGAAAATAAATTTCACGCAAAAAAATCTTTTTTTATGTATAGTTTTTTTTTATATAAACTTTGACTATAAAATGATTAAAAAATAAAAATCCTTTTATAAAATAATTTTTTAAATTTGCCACTTCTTCAAATATGTAAAAGTTAAAGGTACCTTAAAAGGACATGCCCAATTCTCCCTCATGACACCATCTAGCGAAAATTTTGAAAAATAGATAAAACAATTATATATATGCATACACATATATATATATATATATATATATAGAGAGAGAGAGAGAGAGAGATAGATTGGTTATTATACAACCTTTGATATTTGAGCAACCAATACAACCCAACCTCAATCGTCCATTTCATTTGATTAATATGTGATTTCATAGAAGTTTTGATTGTTTCATAATATAAAGTATTGATCATAATTAATGAACCATATTTATCTTTCATAAATATTCAAATCATAATAAATGAACTATCATCATTTTCATAAAAATCTTCATTTATTGGGTTGTATTGGTTGTACAAATACGATGTGTTGTATTTGAAACAAACTCTCTCTCTCTCTCTCTCTCTCTCTATATATATATATATATATATATGTCTAATCATTTAGTTTATGAGATCCTTGAAAATTCTTATCTTAAGGTCTTGTTTTACATAATCTTTTTTCATCTAAGTTGTTTCACAATGTGTTTATCTCATATGTATTCAGTTAAACAAAGTGAATTTTTTTACATATATTTTTTGTTTCAGAAACATGTAAAAAAAGTTCACATTGTGAATCGAGTACACGTGAAACATTCACATTGTGAAATCAATACATTAAATTTTAACTATAAATGAAAAAAAAAATCATATGAAATATCACATAATGCATTAGTTGTCTTAAGATTATCACAATTTCATAAATTTTTAAAATAAAATATCTATATAATAACATACTATAAATCACATGCATGTTTATCATTTATTTAAATATAATTATATCAGTTATATTAATTTAGTCAAATTGTAATAATATAGGTTAATATTCCATGAAGGTGATAAATCAAGTATTCTTAATCAAAAATAAAAGTTGCATGTCACTCTATTTTGGTGGCAGAAAGAATCCATAATTGTTTTAAAAAAATAAAAGCCGTTGAATTTAAAAAACGCAAATATTTAAGGAAAAAAACACAAGTATTTTATGTTGCAATAATATATATAACGCGGGACCCGGCCCTTATCTTTCAAATTCAATTCCTCTTTACATCAACTTTTTACCATCCGAAACGGGTTGCGGTTCACCCGTATCTTTCATCTATGAACGGTGGGACCACTCTCTTTCTCTCTGTAATGTGTATGTATATGTATATATATAATTGTTGGTTGGTGTGGTAGTAAAGTTGGTTAAGAGGGGTTTATTAACAACTGGTGGTGTTGGTGGTAATGGGTAGACAACCGTGCTGCGATAAAGTAGGAGTGAAGAAAGGGCCGTGGACGGCGGAGGAAGACAAGAAACTGATCAAGTTTATGTTGAGCAAGGGGCCATGTTGTTGGCGAACCCTCCCTAAGTTGGCAGGTCTCCGCCGCTGTGGCAAGAGTTGCCGACTTCGCTGGACCAACTACCTCCGCCCAGACTTGAAACGCGGCCTACTCACTCAACCGGAGGAACAACTTGTGATTGACCTCCATGCCCGTCTCGGTAATCGGTACGCATCTTCTTACTCTTCTTTTATATATATATATGGTTAGATTCATGTGAAATCAGCATGTTTTCGTAAGACCCGTAATAAAATCATTTTTTACAATTTAAACTTTACAGTAAAACGCTATAAAAAAACCTAACCTTCACACCAAAACACTGTGGAAGGTTAAATAAAAAAAGCTGAACCTTCATAACAGCGTTTTACTGTGAATTTCAAGTGTAAAAAGGTGATTTCACACAATCCTGTATGTATATATATAATTTTTTAAAGGTTTATAAGATGATTCCCCATTTGGTAATATCATGATTTCAATCTTTTTCCAATTATAGATTAACACACGAGAAGAAATTAAAAAAGATGGTGCTTTTCAAAAGACCCATGAGAATTTTTATTATTTTGATAATTCAGTTGATAGTAATAAAAATAAAAACTTCTTGAACAAAAAACACAGGGTCGTATATCACGGGAATTTGTAGGTTCTAATTATATAATGCAAATAACAAATACAAATAGTTTTTAAATTCGATGTTATAACTACGTGTAAACTTTGTTTATGATAATTTAAATGTTTTAAGCTTCAAACTTAATACGGTTGCACCTTTCATGAACCTAATTTTTTAAACATTTGATGAAAGAATAATATAATAGCACGTGTCATCTATACCACCAAAGTAGGTCCGTCCCTGTATTTAACTAGTATTGATCATATATATTAATAAAAAGAAGTTCGCAGTAAAAGTCGTGATGTACGCATAAAAAATGCTTCTCCTTAGAGAACTCTTAAGCATGATGTCAGGTGTTGGAAATAGAAGAATCTTACAAAAATTTATAAAAATGTCATTATTTTGAGACATATATATATATATATATAGGTTGGATCGGGTTCCGATTAAAAGAGAAGTTATGATGAGAAATGTAATAAAAGATCATACACTTTGACTAATCTTAATTGATATCAACACTAATTAATAAGGTGTACTGAAATACACTAAATTAATTCCTTTTCTAAAGAACAATTCAAAGATGAGCATGAGATTAAACGTGATAGTTAAGGGTTCAACTCTCTTCTTACACTTCTCATCATAATTTCTCTTCTGAAACGATACTTTAGCACATATATAATATTCATGCAATACTGCAGGTAACATGTATTGTTTGAACTGAGATTACATTAGCTTTATTAGTTTTGTTTTGTTTCTGGGAGCTTATAATATGCATATGAAAGTAACGAGATGCAATTAATATACATATATAGGTGGTCAAAGATCGCATCACATTTACCAGGCCGAACTGATAACGAGATAAAAAATCACTGGAATACACACATCAAGAAAAAACTTATAAAAATGGGACTCGATCCGGTGACCCACGAGCCTCTTCAGAATGAAACTAATCAGTCATCATCTTCAACTAAAGAACAATCTCCATCTCCATCTGAAATTAGCAACAGTCCTACCGAAAGCACGAATAAATCTGGAATCTCAAAGGAGACCTGCTCACAAATATCTGAAAACAGTATGAAACCTTTGTTCGAAAGCCTTTGTGACGATGAAAACTTCCTAAGTTATCTGTTAGGCGACAATGAACCCGATTCTCTAGTCGATCCACTGTCGAACTCCAAGAACGATAACTGTAGGGAGATGTTTGCATCATGGGATGAATGTGCAACATGGCTAATGGATTGTCAAGATTTTGGAGTTGAAGATTTTGGGTTGGATTTTCTTAACGAAATTGAGATGATCAGTTTCTCAAATGCATCAGACAACCACAGAGATCCATGAAGAATTATATAATTACATAATAACTAATTGTTTCATATATGAATCTTATTACACACCCATGAAATTAAACTTATTTCATGTGTAGATCTCTAATAAGTACATATGTGTGTATATATATATATATATATCTTGAAAGCAATTAAGATTGGAGTACTGTTGTCATAATCTTGTCTGCGAGACATAACAAAGATCAAAACTCTTACTTGATAAGTGTTTTGCGGTAAAAATTGTTTGTGAGTTTGCAGCTAAACGCTAACCACTTGTGAAATCTAACTTTATGTAATATATATATATATATATATAGAGAGAGAGAGAGAGGGGGGTTGGTTATTATACAACCCTTGACGTTTGTGCAACCAATACAACCCAATCTCAACCATTCATTTTATTTAATTAATATGTGATTTCATAGAGGTTTTGATTATTTTCTAATATAAAGTATTGATCATAATTAATAAATCATATTCATCTTCCATAAATATTCAAATTATAATAAATGAACTCTCATTATTTCTATAAATATATCAATTTATTRGGTTGCATTGGTTGTACAAATGCGACGGGTTGTATTTGAAACAATCTCCCTCTTTCTATATATATATTCATGTGTAGACGATATAACATCGATACGATACTCCGTCATTTTCCAGTTAACTTAGAAAATATTTTAAGAAAAGTATGGACAAAGCAATCCAAAAGTCATATAATAAATCATTTATCATTAATTACAATTTCTATTTCCATTTTGTATATAATTACGTGTACTTGTTTTAGGTTATGCTTAATTATTCATAAAGAATTAATGATTTGATGGTTTAACTGTTCATATCGTTAATTTCAATACACTACTAGCTTACTATAACAAAATTTGGTTTATAGAAAAAAAATGTATGAGTGTTATAATACATTATTTTATAGAATTTAAGTTTGTAAGATCAAACATTTTTATTTTATATTTTAAAGTGTTGTAATAAGTTTAAATGATGTTTTTAACGTCTTAATAAGTTTTTAAAAACACTTTTAAAACTAAAATATGTCTTGTGAAACAAGTATGTTATAAAAAGAAGTGTCATATAAAAAGACTAATATGACATTTTATTTCAAAAGTGTCCTAGATATCTTAATAAAACGCAAAACATTGTATACAATATTTTCAGATAGAAAACACAAAATGTTTAATCTTATAAATTAACAGATAATCTAGTTGATACGTGATAAGCTATTGATATATAAGCTAACTGATAACTAATAGCTAACTGATGAATAAATTATGTTTGTCAAAAAATAACTTACGAACATGTAAAATGATTAAAAAATGCGTCTTCAAAAAAAGTCAATTAAAAATATTTGATAATATGATTCAAATAAAATTTTCTAATAATAAAGTTAAATAAGTTTCTAATAATATAATATGTTAATTAATACAAACGAGATAGTAAAAAAAATTAAATAATATAATATGTTATTTGAAATAATTTAAAATCAATTATTATAGAGTGAATTACACTAGTGGTCTTTATGGTTTCCCAAATTTTGGATTTGTTATCTAAACAAACTATCTATACTAGTGGTCTCTAACTTTTCATTTTCTTATAGTTATGATCCTTCCACTTAACAATACTAGTTATCAACAATTGTGAAGGATTCATTGGTCTTTAAACAACTTTAGGGACCAAAAATGCAATTTGCTATAATATATAATATAATTCATTTTTTTATTAAAAAAATATTTTATATATTCATTTATAAATCATATATCTTAAATAAAGTACATATTAAATAAAAATCTTTATATTTATTAAAAAAATATAGACTTCACAAAAAAATAGGGTTAAAAAATTTCATGTTTAGAAAAAAAAAATCGAAATAAATTGACATATCTTTTGAGTTAAGAATTAAAATATGCGAGCAAAAAATATTAAAAGTTAAGCTCGGTTAACTGATATTATTAATATATAGTCAAACTACGATAATTACAATAACAACAAAATAGAAATTATAAATTAAGCTTAGAAAAACAGTAATTATTTAAACAATTAAGAAAAACTATCACTACAACATAATTAGGTTTATATGACATCAAAAAAATTAACCGTTTGAATAGATCACTTTATAAGACTTATTATAGAAACAAAAATAAAGCGTACTATTTAAATACATTGCAATAAGTTTATAAAATGTTTTTGGATGTACTAACAAGTTTTTAGAATACTTATAATACAAAGCGTCGTATTAACTCTATTTAAAAAAATTCTATAAAACAAACATCCTATAAAAAGATGGATTTTTATGACGATTAATTTGTATTTATTTATTTATATAGAGGGTGGTTCAAACGAGAACAATAACTATTTAAGAAAATAAGAAAGATGTCGTTAATATATGTTTTTGTGTGTGTGTGTGTATATATATATATATATTTATTTATTTATTTATTTATTTATTTATATAGGGACACATTTAAACGAGAACGCTAGCTATTTAAGAAAAAAAATGTCGTAAATGTACAAAATCATATATGATTCACGTAAAAAATCATACATGATGCATATATATATATATATATATATATATTCACCAAACAAAATCATACAAGTACAAAAATCGTTCGTTTCCATTTTTTGACATTAATATAAAATTATATTTGATTTTGTACATTAACAACATTTTTATTGTTTCTTTTAAATAGTTAGCATTCTAATCAATACATATAATTTTGTAATAAATTGATAACATATCATATTATATACATGATTCTAAAAAATTTAAGCACGTTAAATTCTTAGTGAATAGACAAAGTCAAAGGTTGAGTGATTAAAGCTATGGTACATAAACGGAGCGGTCCAACAAGCATCATTCATAAACCAGTCAATTTTTCATCATATAATATTGTAATATATATATATATATATATATATATATATATATATATATAAGGGTTCAAACGAGAACCCCTGTGATTTACGAAAACGCGAGAACAACTCAATAACCACATATTGTGATAAAAAATAAAATTAAAAGATTTTTAAAATTAAAATTAAAATTTTAAAAAGATTCAAAAAAATTTAAAATTAAAAGGATAATAATGAAAATGATATATTATATAGAAAACGGTTAGAATCTTTTAAACTTATCATTAAATWATTTTTATTTTATTTTAATTAACTATGTTTATCTTCACGTTTCCACGTCTTCTTCTCCTTCATTCATGCTTCTCCTTCATTCAAGCGTATTTTCTTTCTCGTTCAACATAATCTTCATGTGATAGTGATATCATATGATTATCACACCCATATCACACCAAATTGGTAGTCGATTTTTTAAGTTAACTCTAGCCGAACGAAATCCTTGTGATAATTGTGTAATAATCACATGATTATCACACCCAAATCATACCAAATCGTTTTGGTTGATAAGTTAAATTTTTGGTGTAATCATGTGATAATCATCATTATACATCACTTGGTTTATCGTTTTGGTTGATAAGTTAAAATTTTGGTGTAATCATGTGATATGAGTGTGATAATCA